ATTTCGCTAATTCAGTTCTACATGCCTCTTTATATTTTTATGAATTGTACGTCCTCTCTAGTCGGTTTAAATTTGCCTAGTTGAGGGCACCAATTAAAAATCCTTTATCATCATTCGCTCGATTTTAATGAACAAGAGTAGTTACAGTTGTAATTTGCAAAGGTTATGCTAACTTTTATAATAATCCGGCAACTAGTTTTTGTGTTCATAAAGTAATTAGAGTGGCGGGAAAATAGCATATTATGTATCAAGTTTGATAAACGCCAATTTAGTCACGAATTTTAATTAGGCACAAAAAAGTTTTACTTATTATTATCTATTGTAGCGAGTACCGCTCTGGATCTCGGAATGATGACTCATCACCGATGAGTCATCGGCGGTGAGTCAGCGCTCGAGCGATCGAGAGCTGTCCGGAGCTCGCTGGACTATTCGGGAAGGCACGTAGGCACTGAATATATAAGGAACAGCCCAGCATGGAGCTTTGGTATTCGCGACGAAATAAATAAATATACGTGCAAATAAATAGACTCTTGTACAGTGGTGATATATAAATAATTAGTAGTTAAGTGTTAAGTTAGTTTTATAGTTTCTTAGTGTTTTAAGAGTAATCAAGTTATAAAAATAAAGTGCGTGTTTTAATTCACACTAATAACAATAAAAACGTTACACTATTATTATTATTGCATAGAGCGACATCTATAAAACAATAGAGTAACCAACTTGACAATCTGTATTGTCAAATGTCAAATTTTTATGTTTAAATCGAAATGTATTCCTTGAAAATGGACTAATCACCGTTTAAATCCGATATAGAAACAGTTTTTCACAGTGAAAGTGAAGAAAATGTTTTATTGGCACTCCACGATGAAGTCTCCAAGCGAAATTAGTACAGTACAATGCTCATCTAAACTTTTTAAATATTGGAGTTGAGAAACTATTTAATTGAGAACTGTCAACTAACTTCAGACCGTGACTAAAAACCTGTTGCTAACTTCAGCCTGTGACTAAAGCGCCATAAAGCCACAACTTGTCAATGTGTATTTAAAAGGTCACTTAGTGTTATGAAAACATGTACGATAATGAGCGTTTTAAAGGTGGGAGTAGAAAAAAGTTTGTTTATGCAGGGGTACTTAAAGAAAGTGGTAGTTATGGTGTAAGGTCGATAATTTCTTAGTTAAATAAACGACCTGATGATTCAGGAAGGGGGAGGGAATTAAGGAAGGGAAAAACATCAAAAAAATAATTAATAGATGAAGTGGTTGTCTGTAAATGATTGCTGGAGGGGGTTCAAAGTAACTTTAACTGTAACGATTGTGTAATCTGAACTGCATTGTCAAAAGTATTACAATTAATTATATGAAATGCGGCAAGACTCATCTTTTTGTCTCGGGATCTGTAGTAACAGATGAGCAATAACTTATGAGGTCACAGTTGTTAATTAAGAAATTAATGTTTCAAACTTATAATTTGTGAGGATTGTTTCAGTTTTAACGGCGGTTTTCTTAAACGCTACCATCTCATCACTTTAATTGTTATTGTTTCAGTTTATAATTTATTTTGTACCGACCCGTTATTAAATTTACAAAATATCCATTTACATTCCAAAACTTTTATGCTCTATCCTTCTATTTCCGCTCTTATACATTTTATTTTACCTTTGTTTTATAACCGTTTTATTCAAAATTTATTCGAAAAAATACACCACTGATAAATATTGTTAGAAATACGGTTTCTGTAAGTACATATCTTATCTTATAAATTTATTTTCGTATAAACTAGGTTACTCGAAATAAGGCAATAGAAATGCAAATCGTACTGCTACTTTAAATTTTGGTATTTATAAGAAATGTCGCAGAAGAACTATCTTACCACTGAATATTGTTTATACAGTGCCATAAATTTAAATAAATGGTAGGACAAATGGTCTATATAGAAAATCTATAAATAAATAAAAACGAATTTCTGTCGAGTTTCAAGACATAAGACACTTTTGTACCTTATTTCATCAAAATCCGTTTGGTCATTAAATACTTTTAAAAATGGCGAATGCGCCGGGATTAATTGTTAACATTACGAATTATCGCAAATCTGTATCACTATTTAATTTTTTTTTAATCAATCTTCAAAAAAAATACATAAAAAAGCAATTGATAGGATTCGGGTTTTATTAATAAAAAAATTTAATATTGCGTCTAATTAGAGAAAAATCCATTTGAAACTGTGGCTTTTGCAGGAATTCGGTAGTTTCATAAATAATTCCGAAAAAAAAGAGAACTAAATACAGCGCATATCCTGTACGGTAAAAATTTATCTGAAATCTCTTTTCCTTCGCTAGGCTTGTGTTGTTTTTCGGCAATTTATGATATGTTAAAATCTCAAATGAAATATTATACGGAAGTATAACTGAATGTCGTGTATCCCAAGCAGGAATAAAGATAGAAGTTTTATAAACTTTCACGGCTTTTAATATATGTAGAGTCACGCGTACAGGCTGCCATCCCCATGTAAAAACTGATAGCCGTCAGGAATTCATTGCTATCAAAATAAATTGGCATATCGACTTTGCACCTACTTAATCCTTTGAGCTTTAAAAATTTATTGATTTCTTCGCCAGCATCGTTTGTTTTAGATTAGTTTTAGCCTTTACCGCATTTCTTTCTGAAAAATTTTACATTCGCACACAACTCTATTTCTTTTTTATTTAATTAATATTCCATTTAATTAGATTTTTGCTTCGATCCACACTGAATTCCACAAATTTCAGTGGCAATTAGTGACAAAATATCAGAGGTGATATTATTAAATTACCAAAAATTCCTTAACGGTTTTGTAAATTATAAAATTTCACTACAAAAAAATAACACCCAAACTCTAATAGTCCTTTTATCTAAGCTCTTTTACCGCACATGTGCCGTCTAGATGTCATCAATCATACCAAGTAATCAAGACCACTGCGTATCATACTTTAAAATAAATTTTATATTGTTTCTGTCTTAACTCCCTAACTTACTTGTCGCATCAAAACAGGTTTGCCAGATTTTAGTTTTTAAATGCTTAATCATAGTGTGCTGTGTTTATTGTTTTCTATGGAGATCATTTTCTTTATAAAGTAAAGACGCGATTAGGTACTCTATTTCATTACTCATACTGGTATAATTTTATAAATGATCTTCTTCTTCTTCCTTGATGGCCTACGGCCTTAATGGTCTCGGTTTCAATGAACCACTTCGACCAGCAACAAGTTTTAATGTCCATGCGCTTCACGAAGCCATCCACCCATAGACACGTGAATTTTCCAAATCTTGGATCATCCACTCAATGTATTGTACAAATCACAAAATACCTCGCTAGAAGGTCAAAGCTTGCGATATTGTCCAAAAATACAGGTATATTTCTATACCCGGAATCCAATTTTGTCCCTCCTGGATCAATGTCCCAGAGATGAAAGTGCGATGCACCACACACGAAATACAAAACTGAACTCTTTATATGAAAGATAAGAGGAAGAAAAATTATCCAATGATCGATTTTTTTTCTGGCTCAGTGTAAATTTTGTCGGTAAAGTCAAACAGCCTGAAGTAGAACTGAGGTGGAATTCGTTGGAGCATGTAGAATGTTGATTTTCTAAATAATTAAATTGAAGCATTACCTTTACTGATTAGGTATGTACGGGAAACGTTTAAAAAACTTTTCGATAAATCCATTTGATTAACCTTCTTCGCTTTTTTTTTATTTTAAACTTCGGCCCTTCAGAGTTCGGCAAACACTAGATTCAATCAGTTTAGTTAAGTAAACGTACTGCTAAATTAATTTTCTGACGTGCCGAGTTACTTTTTTGTCTTATTTTGTGTGGAAAAGGAAATATGAGCAAACAGGAAAGTTTAAAGAGATGATTCGCTAGGTATTTTTATTGGAAATGTTTTGTTTCAGCGCGGCCGGATCAATAATATCAGGTGGTAATGGTCAGTGATATAAAATTCCGGTTAGAAATCTTGTTACAATAGCTCAGTGATAAACGGGATGGTGATTTAGAATAATGATAATGATTTAGGAAGGTTTACAAACTAATATCGGGACCTGCTATTTCTGTCTGCTGGGTAAGGTGAAGCCATCGCTAAAGCTATTACCTGGTCAATTACATCCAATAGAATTGAGGTTTTGGAACTAGAGTTATAATTGAAATCTGTGGTATAGCCAAATTCCCTTAAATCTAGTAATTGTCGGTCTTTGTAAGGGAGCACCAGATCCCCTAATACTTTTCATTGTACAATTCTCTCTCCTTCATCATTATCATCATATTTTTCCTACTACTGAATAAAATTAACTTAAAAATTGCATAATAGTTTGTACGCTTTAACTTACAATGAGAATAAACAGACTCTTCGAAAACTTTTAAATTACCAAGCAAAGTATCGTAATTTTAAATTAAATAGGACATTATGTATAACCCCTCTAATTTAACTGCAGCGTACTACAAACAACTTATCCTGAAGACAAAACGTTATTTTTCTCTTTAATAAACTTGCAATTTTACTTATTAAGAATATAAAATAAATCAGCTCCAGATATGCGTAACCAAAAATTCAGTGTTACATTTTCTTCTAGGACACCAAATTTCATCAAGTTATAATTAATCCCGGCGCATTCGCCATTTTTGAAATTATTTATTTTTGTAATTATTTTAACACAGAAAATATTTTACCGAAAATTATATGCAATTTTGTTAATTTCAAAAGTTACAGATTATTTTGTTAATGTTTAACAAATTATTTCGTTGAAAAAGTTCCGAATTACTGTCAATTAGTTTACAGATTACAGTTGGTTGTATTAACATAATATTTGGTTACAATTAAGAAATATTTTTTTACTGTTCATTAAATTGTGCGGACAAAATGTTGGCCAGTAAAAAATGTCATCATTTTGTCGAATTAAACGAACATTTAGTTAAAGCAGATTTCAAGTGTTGCAATTTGAATTTAATTTCCTTTTTAATTACTTACCAACGACATGCAGGTATCCAAATTGAGTTTTCGCGGTGACTGTATTGATTTGACACATGTAACGTCCCTTGTCCTCCTCCTGGACGTTGCTTATGTGCAAAAACCACGTCCTGTGCTTATCGTGTGTCACACTGATTCTCGGATTTCTCGTAATGACGTGGTTGTGGACCGTCAGGATGGCAGATTGTTCGAAATGCATCCAGGCCACCTTAAATTCAAAAAACGGTATGTTATGATTGCTATGCAAAACAATGTAAAATCTCCTTGAATTTTGATTAATACAGGCAAAAAGGCGGTCGTGATGTTGTATAAAACACAAACAACATGACGAGTATAATGGCTGCTTGTTCAGTATAATTTATAGACGATAACGCATATAGAATAACTAATTAAAATTCTGACTAAGCGGGAAGGCAATGTGGGTTAGGCCGCATCAACAATCGAGTAACCACATTATAAACACCCGGTGTACCAAGTCTACAGACCCTGCTTGTAAATGCTGTTCCGCTACCACTCAATGTCTCTATACTCTGCCATGATCCACCAAAAGGATACTTGCAGTATAAACATTGTCTGTAATTTTTCCTACATAAAGTTTTAATACTTGAACTTGTATTGTGCAGCAATCGCGATTTTATAGTATCTTTTATGTCTTCCATTAAACTAAACAAGAAAAACTCGACCAATTTGTATCGAACAAATAATTTTCTTTAAATGCTCAATAAAATCGCAAGGATAAAAATTTCTAGTCACCCTGTAAATCTTTATAAAACGTATAAATTTCTCGGGGAGATAAAAGAAATTCGAGACAAGAAATGTGGGAATTATTCAAAGGCTTTAGACACTGAGGTGCAGTCAGTTACCATTTGTCAAAAGTATCTATGCTTTATTTAATACAGAAAAGTATTAGTCGTAAATCAGAAGTGTGAGATGTAAGAAAAAGCTCTTCAAATAAAAATGGTGCACCCTGTATATATACATCACTTAGATAATTAATCCCGGCGCATTCGCCATTTTTGTAAGTAAACAGTATTTTTCCTTAGAACCACGCGCTAGTTAAACCTATTAAAACGGCTCATAAATTGTAATTAAAAAATCATGGTTTTCCTCTGGCAATTTCTTTCTCTAAAGACAGGGGTACTTAAATGTTTTATGTGTAATATATCAGGAATGCAATTTAAAATTTATACTCTCAAACTCAAACTATTGAATATTGTCGAAAGACGGCAAAGAAACATTCTTTTAAAAAAAAAACTAATTAAAATATTTGAATAAATGGAGGATAACAATTCAAGCTAAATCTTTTCTAAAATACAACTCGTATCTTGAGTTTTATAGCGTCTTTATAGTTTACTTGAACTAATTGCTTTTATAAATCTATGTAACTGCCTCTTTATTAAACGCATGTCCTATGTTTTCATCGAGATTATTGCCTTTGTATTTTTTATTACCTTATTACAAAAATGATAAGGGTTATAAAAGTTTTATGCGAACCCAATAAACAATTAGAAAATGCTACATTTTGTTCCAGTATAGAGTTGTGTACATACGTACATTTTATGTAATGGTGTAGAAAAATAAAAACATTAAAAATTAGTTAAGAAAGGCGGGTCCAAGGAAAAGCTGTAAAGCTTTTTGCTTAAAGTGCAAGCTGTTGGGCCACGGAATAGGATGTCGCAAAACATGTAGTTTTTATATGCACCAGAAACAGCAAGGGATGATATTATCGATTCGGTCTGAGTTGGCTTTCTACAAGACAATGACACACAAACTCGGTTACGTTACTTTACGTTAATTTTCAATTTCTTTCAGTTCTAATTTAATAGGATTTTTGATTAAGCATCAAAAATAAATCATGCAAAAAGAATTAAAATAATAAAACATGTTGACACACAACCTTTCGCTAAAGTTTGACAATATTGGAAGCAAATCGATTATTCTAAAAGCAACATGATGTATTTCTTTTAAGCCATTTTGCAAGTTTTCTATTTATATCAAACTTTCTGTATTATTTGTCATGTTGACGCGTCTCCTGTTCCTTAATATCTTTTCCCGACCTTTTTATTTAAATTAGACACATCCAAATAAATATGGAGAAAAGAATTGTTTGAACTAAATCTGGTAAACTCAATATTGTTGATATGAGGATCAAATAAAAAGGTTTGACGAGTAAAAAACGGTAAGGTGAGTGACGTCATACTAAATCCAATATGGCCGCCGCTCCAAGATGGCGGTTTACCTATTTATTCACAACCTCCTTGATATAGGTATCAAATGAAAGGGTTTGACGGGAAGAATCCGTGACGTCATTCTAATTTCAATATGGCGGTAAACGATAAGGTGAGTTCCGGGTTTGACGGGTAGAAAACGATTATGTAAGTGACGTCACTAAATCCAATATGGCGGCCGATCCAAGATGGCGGTTCAACTATTTCTTCGTAACATCTTGACATGGATTAAAGGATTCGACAAGTGGAAAACAATAAGGGGAATGACGTCAAATTAAATCCAATATGGCGGTTCAACTATTTCTTCGCATCATCTTGACATGGGTATTAAATGAAAGGATTCAAAGAGTAGAAACCGATAAGGTGAATTACGTCAAGCTGAATCCAATATGGCGGCCGCTCTAAGATGGCGGTTTACCTATTTTTTCACAACATCCTTTACATGTGCATCAAATGAAAGGGTTTGTCGAGCAGAATGCGTTATTTTTATTTCAATAAGGCTAAAAAAACAAAATAAATTTTAAAACTAATAAGTCAAAATTAGATTATATTAGTATTTAAAAATTATTAGGTTACAAGTTTATATATCTTTAAAAAGTATTTTTAAGCTATAATTTATTTGTTTGTGTGTTTGTATGATGTGTGATATTAATGCTAAATAGAGCATATTATTTGGCAGCGATTTAGCAATTTAGGATCCTATTGAGTGTATGGGAAGGCATCTGTAAAAGCACAAGCGGTAAAAAGGTGAATTGGTCTCCAGGGACTTTAGGTCGGTAGTTGCTTGGTCCTTAAGGATTTTCAAAGCTGGTTTCGGACGTTTTTGGACTTTGCACACTCACGTGTAGTATTAGTGAAAGATGCCGTCTTGAACCGAGAAAAGAAATAACTGAGAGCTAATAAAATATTGATGAAGACAAGGAATTGTTTAATTTGGACGCATCCCAGCAGATTGCATTTTTAATATGGTTGAAAAGTCAAATATTATTATCTATTCCCGTCGGAAATCAGAGCCATGTTAGCAATTTTATTTAATTTAGGTTTCTCTGTGACTATCTGTAAAAACATATTGAATGGAAGACTCTATCGAAATCTTTCCTTGCGCAGGGTTATTTACAAGGGGCTTTTCATGATTTTTATACTCAAAAAGATTAGTTCCAGATACATATGTCGTCACGTATAAAACATGGAATAGCGAGAGCAACATCAAAGACGTAATAAGATTAATAAAAATCATTCCTACAGGTTTGTAGATGAAAGTGCGATAATATGTAATAAAATTGAAGAAGATGGAGGAATGGAAAAAGGGCAGCGACTCGGTCGCGGCGTCTCGACTTGCAGAAGAAAGGAAAATTTACTACCTTGTTTACCACTTGGCCACGTTTACACACTCAGCCGACGCGCATCAGGAGCGTTTCTTTGTTTTTCCTCGCCGGTGTTCCGCCTGCCGCCAGCTAATCAGACTGAAATGTTATTTTGCCAGCATCTATTTAACGCACAATCGATCCCTTTTCTAAACCATATATAGATTACTTTTTGACTGTTATGCCCAATAAAGGCAAACTGTCTTGTTTACTCGCCCATATTCCCTTCTAACTTTAATTAATTTTTTTCTCCTCCCTTTTGCATAAGCCGACCCGACTTTCCGATGTTTATAATCAAAGATTACCTACATTATTCCGAAATTTTCTATTAATAAAAAAGTTTACTTCGATACCTATACCGCATAGTTCAGTAGATTTAAAGACGTTGTCGTCGCTGTACTTGAAAAGTTGATGACGATAATACATGCAAATTTTAAATCATAGTTGACGAACTTTTTCGATTACAGTCAGACAATGGGTGCCCCAGTCGGTTTAGAGAGGAGTGCGGAAAAATAAGATAAAATACAATTTATCATCTGTCAATAACATTAAGCTGAAAAAGTTTTCGCCGTGTAGCACTTATATATATATTATTATATAATTATAATGTTGCTTTGGCGAAATTTATGCGAAAAAGAGTTAATCAGAAAGTTTCGTAATTCAGCATAGTAAAAGTCAAAGAAAAATAAAGTAATAAAATATGTTGAAATTCATAGAATTTATCTTGAGTTTCGATTTACAATTTCCCTCAACCAATCAGGTCAAACTGCTGTATCCTTTTCTTCCCTGATTAAGTATTTGATCATACACTGACGACTAGAAACTTGATCTGAATTATAGTTTATGGGTTTTTGTGTATATTGGGTACTTTTATGACCTTTTCATTGCCTACACTAAAATCTGCATTTTCTCTTTGGGAAAAAGGGCCATAAACTTTTTCAATTATGGCTTTTAATCATATAAAACTTTAAAATGCCCCTTTTATGGTTAGTTAAAATCACTTAGTAACAAAACACCTATTTACATTAAACACAAGATAATAAAAAGCCAAATAATTATACTTTTATAACCGGCTATTATGTTCTCCATAAAAACCAATAAACCCAAAGAACAAAGCCTATTAGCATACAACGTCAGCAGTAAAAATTGCAATTATTCATATGCGCTTTTAATGATATGGAAAGATAATCCAATCCAAAGTCATAATGGCTCAAGTGGAATCCATGCAATCGCTATCTATAAAGTTAAATAATCCAAGCCATTACTAAACGCTTTGCTAATTGTTATGGTACGATAAATATAAACATGTGGCCGCAGAGCACGGTTAATGTTTCGATTATATCTTCGCCGGCTTTTCACTGTCAATCCTCCACGGGATACGCTCAGACATTTCACATAATGTACTTCATTTGGATTAAAATGATATAAAACGAAATAAAATGCCCTTGGGCTGGTGATAAACTTTAATAAGATGTGCGGAATTGGAAACGTTTAAGAAAAATTGAATTTCAAATGAGAAGTGGAAGGCAATGAAAAAATTATGTATGTAAAGTGCGGATCGGTGGAAAACGTAAAACGAAATTCTTTTGAAGCGATATTATTTCACGGCCGGCAAT